GACTAGACACGATTAATTAGAAGTCGTGGCTGGGCCCTTGAGCCAATTTTGCTTTGGCTTGACAAGGCTGGGTGGAAGGCAGTGCAGGCAACGCATCTCAGATGAGCGCGAGGCCAGCTGTTCGATCTACTGGAAGATCCTCAAGCAGTGGTGGCGACTGCGATTATTCACGACCTGCGTGGCAAACTTATCAAGGTCGATGTCAAGATCAAGTGCCAGGACCATCCGGTATGCCAGGACGGCCTGTAGTTTCAGACCTTGAGCAGAGGTCCGACCAAGACCTCCAAGGACCTCATCTTCATAAAACATCATGCGAATTCGTGCTTTATTCTCTGGCTGCCACGTCACGGGTTCCAGCCTCCAAACATGAGGGTTCTCTCATGACGGGTAAAATGCGCACTGCGGGGCGCCGGACGCCTGCTTTCATCGTCTCTGGCAGTGTCCCCATGGAAGCGCAGTCAGGGAAGAGCTATCGCCTGGACTTGCTGAAGAAGTCCTTAGCCGAGGACCGCAGGACACGGTTTTTACGATCCTCTGGGCGGTCAAGCCCACAATCAAGCCTCCAGTGCGTCTCTGGGTGTTCGACTAGGTTTCGCCAATGTGCCCTTAGGGCCTACACTTTGAAAAGTGTCGTCCCAATTCAAACTGACGGGAGTTTTCTCAGTCCGTTGATGTTGCTTTCGCATCAGTACTTGGGGGGAATATCCGTACTCCAACTGGCGGAGGACGGTGACAGCTTCCGCTCTGCACTCCCTGCAACTCTGCCTCAAACTCCGGCGCACGCGAAGTGCACAGCGCACACGCCTTGGCAAAGGTGTGAACAGAGCGGCCCAGGACAGCCCCCATCGTGGTCGATTGCCAACCCTGTCACAGTAAGCACCACTCCGTCCAGTGCCCGTTCTTGTCAAACTGGGCTCGCCAGGTACGTGCTGTCTCGGAATCGCCGAGGCGGTCCCCGAGGATACGTGGCCATCCCCTGTAAGCACCAAGACTCGAAGAGATGACTCTCGGGCCACTCCTAATGAGAATACCCGCGCACGCTCGGCAACCTGGCGGCCGACTCGAAAGGCCGTTCAGGCGGCAGCTGGCCAGGCCTTGCCCACTCAAGAAGTTGAAGCTCAGGAGCATTCACAAGTATGTAATATGAGCATGCGCTGCATCTCGCAGGGAAGGTCTTAGGCCAGTGGCCACCAGATTCAAACATTTTGCCAGAGCCAACTAAACTGCCAGTTGATCGAGCGCCCAGGCCATTCTCTGATTCCTACGGCCAGCCCTGTATGGACAGGGTCGTCATACAAGTGTATCCTCTGTCTGAAGAGAATCTCGCAAAGTATGTACTATCCGAGAAAACCACGGGACTCCCAACCAAACTTTGGCCCAAATGCACTCTCTGTTTCAAGCGCGGCTGATCAATACCCATCTTCCTGAAGTCATTGGCCAGAAGTGCGGTGCGTCCAGCACGGGCTCACACACCAGAAAGCTTCCAGGCTGCGCAGTAATACGGTAAGTGAGACATTAAGGAAACTGCGGCGCCACGAATCGCCAGGACGCCCTGCCACTAAACTCACTGTACCAACGCCTATTTTATACAGGGCGCGCCGCTGGATGACCCCAAGGGGGGGGGCGGGACCCCCCCCCTTTCCCCGATCCGTCGTCGGGGACCCCCCCCCTTCCCCCCCTTTCCCGATCCGTCGTCGGGACCCCCCCCCTCCCTCCCCCCCTTTCCCGGTCCGTCGTCGGGGAACCCCCCTCCCCCCTCCCCTCTTTCAAAAGGGTAGGGGGGGTCCGAACCTCCCCCGCCCCCCTGCCCTGTGGCCGCCAAATTCGAACCCCTTCCTCCCCCCCTTTCGCCACGGCGCCCCTGGTCTCTGGAACCCGACCCCTACCACCCCTCACACTAATCCTCACCCTTGCCCTACCTCCTAGCCCTACTTCCAGCCCCAAACCCTAGCCCCAAACAGTACTCACTCCTCATTACGCACTACCCACTACCCACAATTCACTACTCCCTACTCACTACTCACTACCCACGACGCACTACCCACGACGCCCTACTTACTACTCCTTACTCCCTACCCAGTACTCACTACTCACTACATAGTACTCACTACTCACTACCCACTATTCAATACTCACTACTCACTAAACACAACTCACTACCCACTACTCGCCCATCACCAATAACTACTCACTACCCAATAACCACTATCCACTACTCACTACTCACACTCCACTACTCATGTACTCACTGCCCACAAGTCACTCCCCACTATCCACTACTCGATACACACGACTCCCTACTCCCTACACAGTATTCGCTACTCACTATTCATTACTTGCTACTCCCTACGTCCTAGTCGCTACCCAATCGAACCTATGCACTACCCACTACTCACTACTCACTACGCTCCCACTACTCACTACTCACTACTTCCTACTCCCTACCCACGACTCCCAACTCGCTACTCACTACTCACTGCCCAGTACTCAATATTCACTACTCACTGGACACTACTCACTGCCCACTACTCACTACCCACTAACCACTACTCACTACCCGCTAACCATTCCACTACTTACTACTGAGAACTCACAATTCACTACTCACTACGCACTGCCCAGAATCCACTACTCACTTTCCGCTACTCGCTACCCAATAGGACATATGCACTACCCACTACCCACTACTCACTACTCACTACTCCCTATTCAATAGTCACTAGTCGCAAGTCGCTAATCACTACTCATTACTCACGAATCACTAATTTCTACTCGCTACTCCCTACTCGCTACCGACTACTCAATACCCACTTCTCGCTTCTCTCTCCTCACTACTCCCTACTCACTGCTCCCTAGTCACTAGTCACTACTCACTACTCGCTACTCCTTACTCGCTACGCACTACTCCCTACTCGCTACTCCCTACTGACTCCTGACTACTCCCTCCCACTACTCACCACTCACAACGCCCTACTCGCTACTCACTACTCACTACTCGCTACTCCCTACTCGCTACTCGCTACTCGCTACTCGCTACTCACCACTCACTACTCACTACTCTCTACTCACTGCGCACGACTCACTTCTCACTACTGACTCCTCGCTATTCGCTACTGTCTATTTACTCATCCCTACTCCCTGCTTTCTACTCACGATGCACTACTCACTACACACTACTCACTCCTCACTACTCACAATTCCTTACTCACTACTTTCTTCCCGCAACTCACTACCCACTACTCACTACTCACGATCCACTAATCTCTACGCGCTTCTCACTACTGCCACTACCAATTACCCGCTACTCACTACGCACCACTCGCACTACTCACCAATCGCTATTCAAAACACTCTACTCTCTACTCCCTACCCGTGAGGCCCCCTCCCCAGCCCCCCTGTTCGGCGCAAAGGGGGGGAAAGGGGGGGGGGGTCGAACCCCCCCCCCCCCTTTTCCAGCGCCAAGGGGGGGAGGGGGGGAGGGAGGGGGTCGAAAATCTCACCCCCCCTTTGAAGGGGGGGAGGGGGGGGGGTTCTGCGAGCCCCCCCCTTAGTGTATTCAGGGCCATCCACTGGCGCGCTTTCTATTTTGTAGATGGGGGCGAGGGTGAGATTGATAAGAGGCTGAAGGGAGGTGGTCGTTGATGATGAGATTTGGGCTGCGTCACAGTCGAGTCTCTGTGCGCACGCAGCCATTCCGCAACGTGCGATCTTAATGTGAAGTTGTCACATCGAAGGACTGGGCAATGGGAATCTTTCCACGTTGAAGAAAATATTGGCTGGGCGAGATTTCTGCAGCGGGCAACATTTTCGCTAATGCTGTTGAGAACCACTGCTGGTGCGTCCACCACAGTTCCTCTTCTCTCTCCTCCTGTTCTCTCTTCCCTTTCTCCTACTGCGCCGCCTTTTGTTCCTCTCCTCCAGGTAGCGCGCCGGGGGGAGGTGCGCTTGAGCGCCGCTTGATCTTTACCATACAGGGTGGGAGAAGGTTGTTTTTGTCAAGCGCCTCCGTTTTCTTACTCACAGCCTGCATCGCCTGCTGCGAAAGTTGCTCTCGAATCGCGTTTTCGTCCTCCTCGGGCGTTCGCAGCGACAATGATAAGGACAAGCCATGCTATTTATACTGATACACGCATAAATGCATACATGAATACATGTATGCATGCATGTATTCATTCATACATACATACATACATACATACATACATATACAGACATACACACACATACAAATACACATTCACACGTACACATTCACACACACACACACACACATCCACACACATATACAGATACACATACACATACAGACATACAGGCATACAGACATACAGACATACAGACATACAGACCTACAGACATACATACATACAGACACACGTACATACATACATACAGACATACATACATACAGACATATAGACAGGCAGGCACGCAGGCAGACAGACAGACATATCTATATATGTATGGATGGATCAACGCTGAGCGAGGGCGATCACTCGACTCGCCTGATTGTCACGCCTCTGGATGTTAGGCTCATCTGTCGCTGAGCACTTCGACGCTGCATCCATGTTGACTTACGTGGAACACGCAACTTTATGCCGTGACGGCGCCTGACTGAAAGATTTGGCCGGCGAGGTGGGAATGACAGACGGCGGATGGGTTGGGGCTCTGATTGCTCGCGCACACATAGCACGTGTTGTGCTACAGTGCATTTGCTATGTTTTATGTTCCTCGCCGGGATAGTCGTGCATGCGTGACTCTGATTTCACATGTCCACATGTCCACATGGGAGGGGCCTGAGGAAGAGGCCCAACGCCGCCAAGGACAACAATGATGAAGGAGGAAGGAGGAGAACGAAGAGGAGGCCGAAAGCCAATGACGCGGAGGATGAGGAGGAGGAGTAGGAGGAGGAGGAGGACGACGACGACGAGGAGAATGAGAAGGTGGAGGCAGCCTAGAGTCACCGATGTGGGAGGGAGGGGGGAGGGAGGGGAGGGAGCTGGGAGCGCAGCGTCATCTGCAGCAAAATCATGCGACATGAAATGTTACTACAAGAAGTCTCGGGGCACATTCTTCGTCGATCTTTGAAGCGTCCGACGGTGCCCCAGAGCTTCCGTAGGTCCCTGGGGCCAACCGGGGGAAGAGACACTACCGTAGGGCACCTGCTGGGAGGCCGATGTCTGTGCCTATCGTAGGCCAGGATGAAGAGGAAGAGCGAAGGTGGCGCCAGGCACGCCTGGCGCGCGCGCGCGCGCCCGCCCAGCACCATCAGTCGCGCCATGCGCCCTCAAGTGCATCCCTGGGCTCCGAGGCTCCGAGCACGTGTCTCCGACGCGACCTAATCGAAGAAAGGCCAAGTCTTGCCGGTCAGCACCGAGACGGTTGCGATGCCTCCGAAGGCCAGCATGGCCAGACGGCCGTTCTCCAGCTCCTTCAGCTTCATGTTCTTCTCGCCTTCCACGTCCTTGGGCAGGAAGTTCTTACCGAGAAAGTAGTCGCCGGCGGAGCGGTCGATCTCACCTCCCCAGCCCTCCACGATCAGGTAGAGGCTGTAGAGCTCCGCGATAAAGATGGCCCCCAGAAAGGGCTGCATCTGGCCCTCATCGACCAACTTGTTGTGCGCCTCGATGGTCGACACCTGGTACATGTCGCCCGGAAAGCGAGCACCCAGGTCGGTGGCCATCCAACCGAGGGTGGCCAGCATGCAGACGCGGCCGTGCTTCAGCTCAGCCTCGCGTACCCAGTACACTGGAAGAGCATCCGTGACGCCCAGCGGGTCGAAGCCTTTCTCGCCGCCGACCCAGCCCTTGAGATGCTTGGGCATGGTGAGGAACGGCATGGAGGGGGACATCTCGAGCTCCTTGTCGGGGTCCGGGAAGCCCCAATCGTCGTCCCACTCCTGACCGGGCGCTGGCGGGTAGCGGCCGTTCTGGAACGGCTTGTAGCACTCGGAGTAGCCGGATCGCATGATGGTGCGCGCCGTACGCTCCTTGGTGGCACAGTAGGTGTAGCCGCTGCACATGCCGATGTCCTTGATGATGAAGTCGACCGGGGGGCCGTAGAAACCGCCCTTGTTGATCAGCTGGAGCGGGGTCACCCCGAAGGTGTAGTCCTGGATCATGAGGCCCATGATGGCGATCATCGCCAGGCGGCCATTGTTGCGCTCCGCCGTTTGGCGACGCGCCTTCTCAAACTCGGGGTTCCCGTCGAAAACCTCCGTGCCGAAGCCGTAGTCCGCGCCGTTGACCGCACCCGCGCGCGTGCCCGGCCTCAGGAGCAGCTCGTGCGCGCCGATCAGGGCCACGAGCTGCAGCCAGCCCTCGAACGGGATACTGGTCAGGGCGGCCAGGCCGTGCTCGAAGTCCTCGCAGCCGGGGAAGCGGAAGATCTCTGGCATGACGTACCCGATGCACGCGATCATGGCGACGCGGCCGTGCTTGATCTCCACCTGGGTATAGCGCTCCATCTTCATGTCGGTGCTGCTGAGGTTGAGGGGGTCCCACTTGTCGGTGATGGGGAAGCAGACGCCGACCTGCCCAGAGGAGTACGACGCCCATGATGAGCCGCCCTCCGCTCCGACGCCGTCGCTCACGCGCGTGGGCGCTGCCTTCCACAGCGAGCCCTCCGCGCCCTCGGCCTTCGGGTCTCCTCGGCACCGGTCCGTCGTCGTGACGGCGGCCCCCCGCGCCGCCGCCCCGGCCCTCCTTCGAATGCGCGCAGGAGTGACCCTGGGCAAGGGTGACCTTTGGTGCGCGGCTTTCGGGGAGCCGCGGGGTGGCTCGACCCAGGCGCGAAAGGCGCTACTACCGCATCGCGTTCGGCGGTCGGGGGGGGGGGTCCCGTGGGCCCGCACGAAATGTCACCCCAGCGAAGGGTCACTCTGAAGGGGCGCCAGGACACACAAATAAAGACACACAAATAAAAATATTCCCCATATTTTCATATATTTTCTGGGTTTTCGTCTCCCCCACCACTTCCCATATTTTCCCATATTTTCCTGGGGATCGACGATTACTTGTGTCTGTGTTTTTTTTTCCCTCCTGACACTCCCAGGTGCAGTCGACTCCTGGCGGCCCCGCGGCAGCGCGCGCCCGCGGCAAGCACGGCGGCGACGCCGACGGCGGCGAGCGGCGCGGCGGCGCCCGCGGAGGCCTGCTGCTGCTCCTGCCCAGTGGCCGGCCGCCGCTGCGGCTGGCCGCGGAGGCTGCCGGCAGGGGCGAAGGCGGCCGTCCCCGCCGCGAGGGTGGCGAGGAGGGCGGCCGGGAGCACGGCCATGGCTGCAGCACGGGCCGGCCTCGCTGCCCTGGGCGCTCGAGCCAAAATGGCTGCGGAGGGGGGGGGCGGACAGACAGAGGGGGGGGGCACGGCCGCAGGGGACCGCTGGCGCGCGCGACGGCGGAAGGCGGATGGATGGATGGAGGAGGGCGGGGGTGAGGGTGCGGAGGAGGAGCCGAGCGTAGCAGAAGGGAGGGGTGCCCACCGGGCTAAGTTGGCGAATGCGGCGAGCACCTACAAACAGAGCGCAGTGCTGCCAAGACTGCTGAGCAGAGATAATTTGGAGAGATGGGGCTAGGCACTAAGCGGAGCGTGTGGTAGGCATGAATGCGATGACAACCTCTTTGACGACGTTGACCGTCGAAGCCAGGACACCCCATCGCGTGATGGGACAAAGAGGGGCGAGGTCACGACCGAGGACAGACGAGGGAGCCCAACGCGGCTGGGGCCAGGTCGCACTATCGAGATACGTCAAACAGCCACACATTCACGTCTTGCGACCGCCTGGAGTCAGGATCCAGTATGACTCCAGTATGACGTGCACCAGGCGCCTGAGAGAGTGCGGAGGACGAGCCAGGCCCAGGAAGGAGGAGAAGCTGGAGGGCACCCCACCACCCCACGGTGCGTTATCGATCTCGGCCGCTCTGTGTGGCCACCATGTCGTGAGAAGGCGAATGAAGGGAGCGGGGATCGGCTCGCCAGATCGCGCGCGCCTGAACGCATTAATGGCCCAGAGTTGCCAGCGCGACCAGGAGGAAGGCGGGGAGGAGGGGAGGGGGAGACAGAAAAGCAGCAGCAGAGGCAAGAGATAGCTCGATGGGGTAGTTGGTGGCGGCAGCGACAGGATGAAGAGCACGGTCAAGGTATTCGGCAAATGCCAGGGATTGCCAATGCGATGGTGCGAGTGCCCGACTTCCAAGCATATGCAGCGATATCTCTTCTCCCAGAGAGGCCACGTGAGATCGCAACCGCGTGAGATGGCAGGAGTACTCAGTTATGGTGTGCTTGGCAACGCGTGCAACGACAGCTGCACCATTTTCCGTCCACGAGTGCAGCGCTGGACCACTCCACATTCCCAAGCGAGTCCAGCTTTCCATATCGAAGACCCCTAGGGGAAGATGAAACGTGCTAGCGAGCACCGCTAGTTCATGACGAAGAACGGTAAGAGGGAGCGAAACAAGTTGAGCAACGAAGCCTAAGACAAGGAGCAGACGACCAGAGTAAAGGACGGTGTATTCATTCATGGCAATGGTTCATTGGCTCAACGCGCGTGCACGTGAACAGAGCTTGTCCAGATGGGCTCGCCAAGACCGCTCTGGAGTGATGCAGGGGCCCATCCAGAGGCCTAGGATAATAAGCTCAGCAACGACGTCAAACTCGATCCACTGCGATATATACGACTGGAGGACAAACTTGATGGACATTGCCACCTCCGCCATGCACGCGGCGAGTCCCGGGACAGTCCTGCATGTTGCGGGCTTCGGAACCAGCGTGGCGATCCTAGCCGCAACCTTCATCACGCGAGCCATGCGCCACAGTGACGTGGCAAACTTCAGGGCAGCACCGAGGTCACCCGCGCAGGCCCAAACAGCACCAAGCCCAGGCCACTCGATGCACGCTTCGAGGTCCTTGCGAAATTGTGAGAGAGCAAGCGCGAAGAGTGACCCTGATATAGCACGCCCTTGCACAATACCAGACCCGATCCAGAACGCGTGGACTATGGTACCGGCGGCAGGCGCGACACCCCCGATAGCAGAATACAGGAGGGTGAGGAGGAGGAGGAGGAAGAGGAGGAGAAGAAGAAGGAGGAGCATGAGGATGAGGAGGTTGGAGCGTCATAGACTGCGGATGAAGATGACGAGGAGGAGAAGGAAGAGGAGGAGGAGCAGGAGAAGGAGGAGGAGGAGGAGGAGGAGGAGGAGGAGGAGGAGGAGGCGGCGGGAGGCGGGAGGCGGGACGGGGCGGAGGAAAACGAGCCCCCGCCTTGGAGGCGGCCTGGGGGTCTGAACTAGTGGGGACCCCAGCAGACCTGTTAGGGGGGAAGATGAAGCCAACTCCGTTCAGAATCAATCCCCGGACCCCTCCTGGGGCCCATCGGGTGTAATTTTTCACCCCGGATTCCCCGAATCCTTTTTTCACGGCCCCGGAGCCCGAACACGGCCCCCAGAGGCAGAACAAGGCAAAACACCTGCCCGAACCTGGAATCTCTCTCGGACCTGCCCGCCCCTCCTGCGGGCCGGAGCCGGTGCTGAGCCTCCTCAGGCCAGCAGATGGCTCCAACCTCCTCCTCCTCCTCCTCCTCCTCCTCCTCCTCTCCCTCCTCCTCCTCCTCCTCCTGCCTCCTCCCCTCCTCCCCCTCCTCCCCCCTCCTCCCCCCTCCTCCCCCTCCTCCCCCTCCGCCTCCGCCCCCTCCCAGACCTCGCACTGGTACGGGCAGCGCAGGGCGCGGAGGCGCGACAGGTGCTCGCGGCAGCAGGCGTCGCAGAGGTTGTGGCCGCAAGGCAGGAGGGCGACGCAGTCCTGGCGGGTGCCCAGACCGATGGCGGCGCTGCAGGTCGGAGCCGGGATTGACGACGAGGGCAACGACAGCCAACGCGTCACGCCTGCTGGTCTCCAGACTAACATGCCACAAAGAGCCTCAACTCGGAAGAATTAGAAATGAGCTGTGTCGAAATGAGCTGTGTCATCCTTGTCGGGTCTGGGGGGGGGCATATCGATGGCCTCTTGCCTCCGTTTGCGGTCTCTCGCCATACCAGCATGTGCAAACGTCGCTTCTGTCCATTCACAGAGGACTGTTTCCACACATTGAGGTGCATCATGCCCATTAACATTTTAAAAGCCGTTGTGCATTTACATGTATATCTATACATCCTGGAACCACGCGCGCTACGCGCGCTTAGGTTCAAGTCGCAGATGAGGCACGGGTGCCGCTGTAAGCCCCGCTGTGGTGACAACGCCGATTTCCAGCGTTCTTGGGCCCATGCCATCGACGCAAAGCAACGAGTAGTCAGAACGCTTTCGCTCTGCCGGGGCCGCCCTTGAGGGGTGGGAGGGGGAAAGCAACTTGTGAAATGATAAGGTATAGCGATGCCCCGTTCGCTCTGGCGGGGCCTGTCTGGCGCTCTGGCGGGGCCGTCCCAGGAGAGGAAGGAGGAGCACGAAAGCTGAGGGGTGAGGGGAGGAGGAGGAGAGAGGAGGGAATGGAGGCAAGGGGAGGGGGCGGGAGCGAAGGATGGGCGGAGGGGGGAGGCCCAGGCCATCTGGACCGTCTTGGAGCGCTCTGGGGCCTCCCGCTCCCGCTCTGTGGCCCAGCTTGGGCCTGTCCTGGGGTTCTCTTGGGCCGTCTGGGGCTCCTCCTGGAGTATTTTCGGGCTCCCTGGGACCGTCTTGGGGCTCTTTTGCGTGCCTCTTCGGCGGTCTAGGGGCGGTTTTGGTGGCGTCTGCGGCCGTCTTCGAGCATTGGAAGCTCGAGAACGCGAGAAAGCAAACAACATCGAACAAACCAATGCAAATCAAGGATTTGGGCCTCTTTGGGCTCTCTCGGGATGTCTTTCGGAGCTCTCTTGGGCCCTCTTGGAGGCCTTTTGGGCTGTGTTTGCCGTCGTGAGCTCCTCTTGGGCCACGTTGGAATCATCTCGGCCATCCTGGAGCGCCTTTGGGCTTCCCGCTCCCGCTCTGGGGCCCATCTTGTGCCTCTCCTGGGGTTCTCTTGGGCAGTTTTGGGCTGCCCTTGGGCAGTCTGCAGGCTCTCCGGGGCCGTCTTGGGGCTCTTTTTGGGGCCTCTTCGGCGGTCTTGGGGTGATCTTCGGTGCGTCTTCGGCCGTCTTGTAGCGTTGGAAGCTCGAGAACGCGAGAAAGCGCACAACATTTGAAATAACGACCGGAAATCAAGGATATGGGTCTCTTCGGGCTCTCTCGGGACGCCTCCCTCTCGGAGCTTTCATGGGGCCTCTTGGAACCTGTTGGCCTGTGTGCTTGCCGTGGTGGGCCCATCTGGGGCGACGTTGGGGCTATCTGAGCCGTCTTGGAGCGCCTTGGGGTCTCCCGCTCCCGCTCTGTGGCCCAGCTTGGGCCTGTCCTGGGGCCCTCTTGGGCAGTATGGGACTCCTCCTGGGCAATTTTCGGGCTCCCTTGGGCCGTCTTGGGGGTCTTGTGTGTGCCTCTTCGGCGGTCTTGGGTCGGTCTTGGGGGCGTGTTCTGCCGTCTTCGAGCATTGGAAGGTCGAGAGTGCGGGAAAGCGGTAAATATTAAGCAAACCAGTGCATATCAATGATTTGGGCCTCTTTGACCTCTCTTGGGACGTCTTTCGGAGCTCCCTTGAGCCCTCTTGGAGGCCTCTTGGCCTCTTCGGCCTCCCGCTCCCGCTCTGTGGCCCATCTTGTGCCTCTCCTGGGATTCTCTTGGGCAGTCTCGGGCTGCTCCTGCGCAATCCTCAAACTCTCCTGGGCCGTCTTGGGGCTCTTTTCTTCGGCGGTCTTGGGGCGATCTTGGGGGCGTCGTCCGCCGTCCTGGAGTGCCGGAAGGTCGAAAGCACGAGAAACCAAACCACATGGAAAATCATATAGGAAATCAATGATTCGGCCTCGTCGGGCTCTCTCGGGATGCTTCTTGGAGCTCTCTTGGGGCCTCTTGGAGGCCTCTTGGGCTGTGTATTTGCCGTGTTGGGCCCATCTGAGGCCACGTTGGGGCCATCTGGGCCGTCTTGGAACGCCTTGGCGCCTCCCGCTCCCGCTCTGGGGCTCAGCTTGGGCCTGTCCTGGGGCTCTCTTGGGCCGTCTGGGGCTCCTCCTGGGCAATTTTCAAACTCCCTGGTGCCGTCTCGGGGCTCTGTTGGGGGCCTCTTCGGCGGTCTTGGGTCGGTCTTGGGGGCGTGTTCTGCCGTCTTGGAGTGTCGGAAGGTCAGAAACGCGAGAAACCGAAAAACATAAAGAAACAATGAAAGTCAATGATTGGGGCTTCTTCGGGCTCTCTCGGGATGCTTCTCGGAGCTCTCTTGAAGCCTCTTGGAGGCCTCTTGGGCTGTGTATTTGCGGTCTCGGACCCATCTGGGGC